TGTATTAACCCGATTTGAAAAAGAGGAATGTGCTGTGGACATAGCCACTGTGTTAGGTCTAACCCCCACAATGGTGTGTACTATCCAGACCAACGCTGACAAGATTAAGGTTAGAGCTGGAAGTGGTTCTTCTCTGTGTGCAACTAAGACAACTCGTACTAGAAGTACAGTGGTCCCTCGATTAACGAGCACAATTGGTTCCACAGAGTCAGTCGTTAAACTGAAAATGTTGTTAACTGAATCTATTATTTCAATGGGATATTGGGTAATTGGTTCTAACTCACAGAAAAAGTACATACAAAGTACTGTATACCAGTAATAGAATTAACAAAACATTAAATATAAACTAAATACAGTACTGTACAATAATAAATAAAAAACAATAGAATACTGTTGTTTAACTTACTTTGAGGTGTGGATGTCGTATTACCAGCAGCTTTGTTTACATAGCGAACAACTGATTGTAGAGGCAGTTGATGATGACATGCCATATTCTTTACAGAGTGCATTGGTTCTAATGCCTTCTTCAAGTTTCTTAATAATTTCTGCACTGTATATTATCAATATGTTAACTAAATTTCAGAATGACCAATAATTTTAAAGTAAAAATGCAAAAATATTCAAGAGACCAACAAACTCGATGTTCACTCCACTATAAACAAAGTTAAACTGAGAAGCGTTGGTGGGTGATTCGATCAGCTGGTGGGCACACAAAAATTATTCCCTGTACTGTATATATTATCAATAAGTTAACTAAATTTCAGAATGACCAATAATTTTAATATAAAAAATGCAAAAATATTCAAGGGCACAACTTTCTTGATATTTACTCCACTGGAAACGAATGTAAACATAGAACTGATTACTATATTGGTGGACTAGCTGATCAGCTGATGCACACAACAAAGCGTGTTTCTCGTAAGGCTGTCGTTAATAGAACTGAAAATCCTCATGGGGAGTAACTTGTTAACTGAAATCTCGTAAATTGAACCGCTTGTTAATGGATGGACCACTGTACTATGATAGAAAAGGTGGAAAAGATGCTGGCTATGTGGATGGAGGACTAGAATCAATGCAATGCGCCTGTAAGCCTTATGGTTATCCAGCATAAGGCCAGATCCTTGTTTGACGACATGAAAGAAACAGAGGGTGAAGGATAGAAGGTACAGACCTTTACAGCCAGCCGAGGCTGGTTTCAACAATTTAAGCGTCGGTATAACTTACACAACATAAAGATGACTGGTGAAGCTGCCAGTTCAGAAACAGTTGCTGCCGAGACATTCCCGCCAGAATTCAAACAGATTATCCAGGAAGGAGGCTACTCATCAGAGCAAGTTTTCAATGTGGATGGGACTGGTCTCTTTTGGAAGAGGATGCCTGAGAGGACCTATGTCTCCAAGGAGGAGAAAAGAGCGCCAGGTTTTAAAGCGGCAAAAGACAACTTGACGCTGCTGCTTGTTGCATACGCTGCCGGCGACTTCAAGCTGAAGCCGATGTTGATTTCTCGCGCTGCCAACCCACTGGCCCTGAAAGGTTACTCTATGGATCACCTTCCTGTGATCTACAAGACAAATAAGAAGGCATGGATAACCGGTGCCATATTGAGCCAGTGGTTAAACGTGTATGCCGTCCCAAGGAGAACCTGAATTCAAATTTCTTCCGATCGTTGACAATGTCCAGCTCATCCTCCCAATCTCGACGACTTGCATGTCAGTGTAAAAGTTGTATTCCTGTCTCCCAACACTACAGCACTGATGCAGCCTAAGGACCAAGGCGTCATCGCCGCATTCAAGGCGTATTATTTACACCGTATCATGGCCCCGCTGCTTAAGGCTACAGACAGAGAAAATAAACCTACGATCAGAGAATATTGGCGGGGCTTCAACATTCTTCATGCAACTGACAACATTGGCAAGGCATGGGAAGAGGTTTCAGAAAGTTGCCTGAATGAAATTATTCAGATTTTATTAAAAAAAAAAAGTGATGGGGGAGGAGTGCAAATTGAAAGTTAAATGATAATTGGTTATTAATAAGAAATATTTAATTAGTGCTAAATACCCAACAGTCAATCAGCTAAACGCTTTCCATACATACAGTAGTTTTCTTCAAACAAGCCACTATAAACCAGACTGACACTGCTGCAGAAACAATACCAATCAAACAATAGCAAGAACTCACAGAGATAAATGCATATTATTCTTATTCAAGGCTTGGGAGCAAGTATTTTTAAAAATTTGCACAAAAACTTTAGAAAATTTTGAACCGTGGCAATAATGCAGTAAAGCAGGCATGGGCAACCCGCGACCTACGGACTGCATGTAGCCCAGACCAGGTGTTTGTGCGGCCCATAGAGTGATTGTGAAATTCTATCTAATGTGGCCCACTGTTAACATTACGTGTTTCACCACCTAAGAGTAAGTAACTAAGAAAATGTAACGGTGAAATTAGTAAATACAGTAAAATCAACAATATAAAAATTTTAACTTGTGTGATTTACGGGCCAAGTTCGGCACTGTCTGTTTGATGGATTAGCTGCTGCGTGGCAGTGGGTCACTTGGGAAATAATTAAGGTTGGGCAAGTCCAAGTGGGGTCATTGGTGGTGGTCACACAGAGTTTAACTAATTAAGTACTTTCAGAAAAACACCTAAATCGCTTCTCGGAAACCAATAGTTGGAGAGTAATTAAATTAAAATCTTCCAAGCGACATTATGGCCACAAATTACCCTGCAATCGAATTGTGGACGATAGATTCGGAATCAGCATGCCAAAAACGGCAAAATATTGTAATAGCCCGTCTCATAAACATAAGCATTGTATAAATGGGTTAATTACATTTGAATTATATACTTTATCACCCCCTGTAACTTTCCACTGGCTATGAGGTGACATGTTCAGAGCACGTGATAAGGTGTGCCCACGGGAAGCCACGTCATATTATGCTGAGTTAAGGCATTAAGTAGCCGGCTCCCTGGCCACCTAAAGCAGGCAGTAGTTTGATATCCTTGACTAGAGGAAGACCTCATTTGAGAGCCATCGTGGATGGTTCCGTCTTCCGTCGAGGGAGGACGACGTACATATTCTGTTCTCCCTCGATGGGTCACTACTCATTAGCATTGTTACTCAACGCCTCACACAGATCGGACGTATAATAAAAGGTCTATTTTAAATAGCCTCCGTCCTTCTCTTAACACTCATACTGTGATAAGTTACGGTGATCCACACATTGGAACCGTATTCTAGATAGTGCCTCAATAAATGGATAACGGACAATTGGGTTTCGCTACTAAAACCCAATATAATATAAATGTTCCGGCCTCATTAACCTAGACAGAATCAGCAGTTAAAGGGCTAGAACAATATTAAGCTATATGACGAATAATTTTTTGACCGAAAATACTTTTTTTTTTAAATTTGAATTTAAAGGGTTTAACTAATTAAGTGGATACTTCCAGAATAACCCAAAATATCAAAACTGCTCCTCGGAAACCCATAGTTGGCGAGTAATTAGCACCGAAATAATATACTGTACAGCATGCCTTTAAAATTCACGAGGGTTTGGGTCTCAAAATGGCCTCAAATAGCCAAATTCGCGAATATCATTTGCTGACCAGGGGATGGTACATTTTTACTCGTGTGCAAAGAAAAGTATATTTCCTTTATTTATTTGCCCTAGGACAATTATTTCTTTTATCTGTGTACACACACACACACACACACACACACAAAGATAAATAATAATGGCAAAATACTCTCACAAATAATCATAAACAAGACAACAAAATGTATCGAAATGTAGAAAAAATGTGAAAGTCTACCCTCAAGGCAAATCCTTGCTTTGTTATTAAGTTAACTCAACTTTAATAACAAAGCACGGAGTTGACTTGAGGGTAGACTCACAATTTTTCTACATTTCGATACATCTAGTTTTCTTGTATCCGATTATATGAGAGAGTATTTTCCCATTATTATTTATTTGCATGTGTTTTGTAAGTGTGTGTAGCACACATATTATACAATACAGTACAGGTAGATTGAAATTACTGTCTCTAGAATGAATGGCTCCCTGTCCCGGCCGCAAAAATGGTGGCAACTTTAAAACTACTCGCAGACATCCAGGGTGTCATCCACGAATAATAGAGGACCGCGAATCAAAAATCCACGAATTGTTAGGGCATGCTATAAGTAAAATCATCCTAGCGTCATTATGACTGCCAATTACCACGCAATCGAATCGTGGACCATAGATTTCGAATCAGCATGCTCAGGAGTACTTATACGAAGATTTTAAACAAAATCTAATTTTTGGTCGAAGCCGCCAAAATATTAAGCCATATGTTTGAATAATTTTTTGTAAGATAAATGCTGTAACTGGAGAAAAAATCAATGTATTCACTCATCTTCTGTTAAATGTCATGAAACATTAAGATATTATTTAAAAAATTATGATGATGGATTTGTTTCATAAATGGGAAAGACTGATTGCAAACTGAATATACTGTATAAGAAGGTAGATGTGACGATAAATTGTTTCACTGTCCGTGCTAATACAATATTAACATTACTTTTGGGTTAGGTACGATATAAATTTTGGTGGGTTGGCCCGCAGAAAAAAACCTAAATCGTAATGCAGCCCATGACTGAGGAAAGGTTGCCCATGCCTGCAGTAAAGTATATAAGAGTTTTAATTTTACTGGTATAAATTATATGCCATAACTTAATTATTACTTACAAGTTTTAATATTCATATGAACAAGATCTGGATGATATAGTTATAACAGTTATTTTGGTGAAAACACTGTTTTTAGATGAACACAAGTTGGTATGAATGAATGATTTTGATAAATATTGATTAGCATTTATTCTTTAAAAGTGTGTAAAAAGAAAAAAACCCACACATTGTGAAAGCCCGTGAAAATCAACCAGCTGCCAAACAACAACAAATGTTTTCACCAGCCAAGCAAAACAAAGAAATGTGCAATTCACCAGATGGTCACCATACCTGCTACTACACGACTCTTTTCCATGACTTGACGAGCAAGAATCTGGTTCAAGGCCAGAAGGTGTTCACGCTCCTTCTTCTCAGCTGCTACCTTGGCTTTGAAGGCTGAGGAGGAAGTGGCAGTGGCTTCAAATTCAGATGACTGTTCCTCCCCTGTTTCACCCTTTGTAACAGTAGTTTGTGTCTCAGAAAGCATCTTGCGAATGGATTCTGCTTTCAGTTCTCTATGTGCACGTTCTTCTTCAGTTGGTTCTTTCTCATCATCCTGAAATAAAGTTTTGTAGTAACCAAAAAGTCTTATCTTGATCTTCCAAAGGTTGTAAACAAAAACATTAAAACAGTAGATTAAGTAAAGGAAAGTTACTTCTCTAAAGGAAGTACTAGAGGAAGATATTATTTCCATAAAATAAAAAGTAACATTATGCAGGCGCAAACCATTTGCTTAAATACTGTACATTATTTTTAATACTAGCACTGAACTATTACTGCAACTCAAAATGAGTTCTTGCAACCTATACTTACACTATTTACAAGGATAATTCAGATCTCACCTCATCTGGCATATATCTCTCTGGAATGTAGATTTTACTTGGAGCACCAAGAACTGAATCAATTGTTGTTTCATTAAACCGAAGATCTCGGGTACTCAGAGTTGATTTGACAACATCAGGATGATTACGTGGCCTCAAGGCACGGACCATGTCACAGTCGTCCCTTGATCTGGCGCCCTATGGAATGTGTAACGCTTTGTAAATAGAAAACAACAAAAGTGAAGTTTGAACGATTTTCTGTGAGAGGGACATAAATTAGATCATCATATACAATGTACAGTAAATGGGTGTGGTATGTGAGGTCAGAAAAGATGTATTGATATGTTCTGGGGTTGAACAGAACTGTCTTAGTAATTAGCATGTATCCCTTTGGTGGTATACAGAGTACAGCACAATATCTACTTTCCTACAACAGTCAAATGAATGAAGTGACATAAAATAAAGAATAAAATAAAAAATTTCGAGTAATTATTGTTGATTAATGGACCTTCAAAATAATAAAGACATTTAGAATATTTAAAAATTCAAATACGCTGTGCCCATAAGTTTTAAATCACCTTTATATACATTTTCTTAAAATAATGGACTATCTTTACTATATAAACACATTAGTTTTCACTTTCTCCCCAAAAAGTCGTTTGACGTAAATAAATACGCCTGACCTAATACAGCAAGATCTCATATTTCGCGCTATTCCATTTCGTGTTTTTGAATTTCGCGAGCACTACCTAATGTAACCAAGTCTTATATTTTGAGTAAAATATTGTGAATTTCGCGAGATCTGGCCAGCTGAACGTTGGCCACCGTCTAAACTCTAGAATGATGTCACAACCGTCATACCAGTTATTCCCGCGCCATCCTACCGCCCAGGCTGCTATTGTGTGCGTTTTTTGTTACTGCTTCCACCTGTCGAGTCAAGATAATGGCCTCTTACTTTCACTGGGGGTCCTACTGGTGCTGGTGGGACAGACCCACCTAGGCGGCCAAAATAAGGAAAAGGAGAAGCGGGACTATCGTAAGGGAGTTAAGTTCCCAAGTACTCGATGCAGGATAAGCAGCGTGTGATTAAGTTACTTGAGGAAGGCCTAAAAACTAGTGAGATAAGAAAGATTACTGGTTTTCCGTAAAGCACAATCAGGTCAATAAAGGCAAAGGGAGATGAGACAAAGAAGTCTTAAGGAGTGGCAAAGAAATTCTTTGGTGGAAATGTTGGAGCATCAAATAGAGTTGTGTATGAATCCTCTGAGAAAAGCAGACTGATAGCTATGACATAATTTTCTGCACAAGTGGCTTGCCTGCATTGTGACAGAAAATGCAAGTGTTGATGGATCACAAATTCAAGACCAAGCCCTGATCTTTTATGCTGCAATACCTGTATGTCGCAAGAAAAACATAAATAATCCCCCTCAATTTGGTGCTTCTGTTGGCTGGCTGGCAAACTTTAAGAGATGTTGTGGTGTGAAATATGCACGGTCCTGTGGAGAAGTTTCGTCTGCAGAGTAGGTGGCCGCATGTTCATTTCCAGAGATAGCAAAGCAGCTTGTAGAAGAAGGTAGATACTTGTTGGATCAAATTTATAATTGTGATGAAACGGGTTTCTACTGGAAACAATTTCCCCGTGCCCGGTATCTGGTTGGCAGACATCCTAATGTTCAGGTGGTGTTCCTGCCCCCCAATACAACCTCCATACTACATTACTACAACCACTTGATCAAGAAATAATTGCCAATGTTAAGTTGCTTTACTATAAGGCGATTCACGACAGAATGAGGAAAGCCACAGACTCTCAAGATGAAGTGAACGAAATCAACAACTCTAATAACAGCGATGTGGAAGACGACCCTGCTTCAGTTGGCACCTTGCTGCAAGACCCTGCTAGCAACCCCCGTAGTGACATCACTCAACACAATGTGCTGTTAAGCAATTCTGGAAGCAATTTCATATCCGACATGCTGTGGACCACATGGTAGCCGCATGGAACAAAATCACATTGGCAACCATTAACCATGCTTGGAAACCCCCTCTTCCCATACCTGAGTAATGCAAGGTTAGCTGTGCAGCGTCAGGCTGATTTATTAGAAGCTGCGGTAGAAAGTGCAAGGAGTGTCCCAGCACCTGGTTTCCATGAGGTGGATGCAGGACAGATCAACAAGATGCTTAAGGAGAATGATGAAGAAATGCTGGATGATGTGGCTGATGAGTCATCCGATGAGGCAGGTGAAGGCGACGCTAGAGAGGAACCGGAACGCAAGATCACAACCAGCAAGGTGTCTCTGATACTCAGCACTTGTTCGAACCTCCAAGGACTGGTTGAAGAGTTGTCCAAGAATGAGAATGAGCAAAGTGGAGGCCATCACCAACACATTTATGCCAAGTTACCATCGAAAGATAAACGAATGCCAGCAGTCACTAATCACAAGGTACCTCACACAACGCCGACATGTTAGTGATACACTCCAGAACATCGATATTGGAGAAGAGGTGGAGGAGGAAACACAGGATTTGCCAGATATTACCACCGAGGACTTCCTAGGATTTGAATCAGGAGAGCCCATCCCCAGCCTCGGATATCCAACATCACCCAAGCTCATCAAGTTTGGGCTAACTGGTAAGTGCTACTGTATTTTTTAAGTGTTTATGCATTGTTTAATAATGATTTATCTTTATCTGCGGAATTTGTATCATTTGGAGGTTATAAACGGGAAAATCAGAGGTTGATGTAGAGTGACCAGTCTCTAGTTATTTTTTAATTTAGCGCAATTTTCCAGTCTATATTACTCGTGAAATACAAGATCTTACTGTACAGTACCCTGAATTTCAGAACCTAGGGTCCTACCATGGATTTTGTTAAATTTTCACACAAAGGTACTACTTTACATGCTGATTAAGGATCTGCATTCACAATTTATTATTTTGAATAATTAGTGTTAATTAATGACCTTTGAAGTCAGTAAAGATATTTAGAATATTTAAAAAGTCACTTATGCTGTGCCTGTGTTTTAAAATACCTTTATATATATATTTTCCTAAAAATATAGACTCTCTTTACTATATAAACACGTTATTTTTCACATTCCCCCAAAAATTATCATTTGACGTCAAAAATACGCCTGACCTAATACCTTGCGTTTCGACACTTGGGGTCATACCAATTAGGTGACAAGATAAAACTTGAGAGAAGGCTAACCTCAGCTATGCTAATAAGGAAATAACTTCTGAAACACAAGAAAAAAATTCTTGGTACCTGTAATTTATCTACCGCTGTGATATGTATTGAGAAGAACTGTTCCAATGATTCGGGGTGGATCCAGGAATATCAAAAGGGAAGAGGTCCAATTAGTTGTGGGGTGGGGGAACATGGTGAGTGCAGTGAGCCCAATATTCAGGGGCGATTCTACGGGGGGACCAGGGGGGGCCATGGCCTCCCCAGATTTTGGGCTGGCCCCTGGGTAGGCCCCCCCCACTTTTTATTCTCAAAATTGTACCGTGTGAACTGAAACCGCACAATTGCCATTTGCCAATGGGTATAATGTAACAGGTGCATGCGGTGCCCATGTCTGAAAACGTAAACGTCGTCTCCATAATCTCCATTATGTGTGAAGCGTGAGATCATTCATTTTTTCGCTGATGTATGTACATACTTGTAAAGACACTGCTATATTTTTCAGTGTTTGTTATGTGGTACATCTGCCCTTTATGTGACTATGTGAGCAATAATACAGTTTTAGAGATATGTTCAAGTGTGTCAATACTCCAATGAATCATGATTAGTGGAATAAGAGCGTTGCCATTATACCGCCATATGCTGATTATTTTAGGCTGGCGTCATTTGTCAATCAGATTGGTGTAATAATGCCAAAACTGCATCTTGCAAGTTGAACACAGGTTTGGTTTTGCCCCCCCAACATTTACCTTGGCCCCAAAGTGGCCCCCCACTTTCCGAAGGCTAGAAACGCCACTGCCAATATCACAGGCCAATTTGAAGCCATATCCACTTGATATTATGAAATATTCTACAGGTTAATAGTAATTAATTTCACTTTACAAAAACGCCTGAGTACAATACTGCATTAAAAAAAGTACAGTATTGAAGTTTGGACCCCCCCCCCCCTTGGATCTGCCCCTGAATGATATATGATTCATTAACTAGCTAATTGGTAGGTACTGTACTAGGATAATCCTAGTTCAATACAGAGCATTGCAAGGAAGAGAAGTTGGAGGTGCCCTATTAGTCTGGGTGAATGGAAGAGCACAGACACTTCCTGGTTTACGGAAAGGTTCAGTAAATTGAAAATGACCCATCCATAATGTAAATATGCACTGTACCCTGTACTATATTGAACATGGAACACATAAATAAGTCTCACAAGGGGATTTTATGCATAATCCTCCACAAATAGTGCTATTATGCCGTACTAGTTACTTTCCATAATAACAGAACCTCTTGCACAACCCAAATTTTTTTATAATGGGACGTGTGGGAGGAATTACGCATTCTCGAATTTCCGTAAACCAAGTTTTTTGTATCCCGGGGAGTGTCTGATAACTGTACTGTTTGATACTGTTCACTACATGCTGACACAAAAGACTGTCTGTTTAAACCCTTCAGTGTTGATGTGTAACTATAAGTTTCTAAAATACAGATAAGATGAACACGAGATTAGTAGAAATCAATGACTTATATGGTATTAAACAAGTTAAGATGAACTAAGACTGTAGTGAAGATTAGGAAGATGTCAGAAATAGAGGGGAAAATATCATCTGTATTAAAGATGGTGAATGTCTAGGAAAATGGAAGTGGGAAGCGTTTGGTGCAAGAGAGACATGAAGCCACACACAATGGTGGAAAACTGAGTAAGAATAGAAAAGTAAGAGTAAATAAAAGTATAAAAGATAAATAAAAAAGTGAACTAGGAAAAGAAGATATAATGTTTACAAGAAGAGTTAAAGTCATGATTTACTTTCCTCAAATGAGTTCAGAATGGATGGGTAAATTCATCTCTTTCAAATTATTTTCTTACTGTATACTAAAGAAATGTTTTTCATGTGGACTACTACAAATGTTCTCGCCCAATTACTGTAGTTAAAACTATATTTATGTTAACAGATAGACAAAAAGGACATGATACTTGTAACTTAAGGTATTTATTATATGTACAATGAAGTTCACTAAGGTTTTTATGGAAGTGCAACAGTGAGTTCTTGGTGGCATCACACTTTCATAAAACTAGAACACATGCAAGAAATGACAACTAAAATTTTAACTGACAGGTATATATAAACTCTGATTACTACGATTCAATTATATGCATGTTTTGTTCTCAGGTACATTAAATTACATAATTACATCACTTTTCATCTGGATGAACTTAATTTTGGTATACAGTACTGTGTACATACTTAAAAAAAACAAAAAACAAAAAAACAATATAAATAAATATATATATATATATATATATATATATATATATATATATATATATATATATATATATATATATATATATATATATATATATATATATATATATATATATATATATATATATATATATATATATATATATATATATATATATATATATATATATATATATATATATATATATATAGTATATTTATTTATAAACTGCAGTAGTTCAGCAATTAAGTATTTCCAGCTGTGATGTACTCCCCACACTAGTATAATGTACCATAAAATCAGTCATGGCTAGTTATATACTCTACCTCCTCTGCACCTGCATCTCTTGCTTCTAATGTTATTGGTCGGCTACTGGAGATAGTAAAATGACGTCTCTTCTCTTTTGGTACTGTACGGCGATGTTTCTCTGCCTCAGAGGCCATTTCCTTGATAATTTCCTGTGCTGCAGCACTTTTGAACACTGGGGAGGGAGGATCCGACTTGGAAGGGGAAGCAGGGGGAGTTTGCTCAGTTTCCCGAGCGAAACCAAAAAGCTGTTCATGTGCACTCAATGGCCGGTCTTTGAGGTTCTCAGTCTACAGGATCAGAATAAAACAAAAGCCATGCATTACTCATACTTCCTACAAAATTATCATACTAAAGACTGAAGAACATGGGAAATTACAGGGGGCTCAGCACAAAGAAAATGAAAGGTAAATAAATATACAATATAGAGACACAATGGAGGGAAATAATGAAAGTATACAATGAACAGGAATACAACAAGTACTAAAAGTTTAACAATTTTGGATAATAACACACATGCATGTTTTTCTTGGTCGTCAGTTTAGAAGAACAGAAATGTACATAGAGTATGATTAGGTCACAAACCTGATGGTATATTGTACTTGCAACCCAATGTCATCTTGAATACTTGAATTTTTGCAACCTAACCTACCTTAGATTTCCATCCTGCTGATTTCTTTAGAGCCAAATTGCTCGGGCGAGTCATTGTTCCAGCATTTCCAACACTAGTTCGCATCATAGCTGCCATCATACTGACTCTCTCCCCTGGACCATTACGGCCATAGTTACGAGGTAATGAAGCAGACCTAAAAGAAAAACTTAGTTGATAAGAAATATTATTCCAGTAAAAAACACATTAATTCAATATAAAAAGCTTAAAGGAGAGGATAAAAAACTTCCTAACGTGGTTAAATGCATGAATACCGTAAATGTACCAGGGTTGGTAAAAACCATTGTTTAAAAAAAAAAGGCTCACAGCCAAATCATAAACAGAAGCAGTCACCAGTTATACTGGACAGTGGTAACTTGGCTCCCTTATAATCAGGAGATGAGATGTGTGCAACCCTGCAAGAAAGCTTATTATCACCACTTTCACCAGCGTATAATAGGTCACATCTATGTCTGTATTGAACAATCACAGGGACATAACACACCCCTGTCTAACATTCAGATTTATTTCAAATGTTTCACTTTCTTTCCCATTTACTCTTACTGTTGCTCTGCTGTTCTCAAGGAATGCTTTTACTGCATTGAATAACCTTCCTCCCACCCCATACTTGTAATTCCTCCCACAATGCTTTTTTGTTCACCCTATCATACACCCTTTTTAATTCTACTATAAATCATTAAAACTATCAGAAAGTAATAAAAAACAAAAAATTATTAAAACAAAGAAATTTGGGGGTTAAACCATTGGTTTAAATTGGCCAACCCTGGAATGTACAGTTTTGGAACTCACTTCGACTGAATATTTATATGAAATCTGATATCTATTTTAACAGTTCATTAATGAAAATACTCAATTTAACTCATCCTGGACATAACTGGCTTAGTTTGTTGCCCGCATTATTATCATCCAACACCCCCAATATGCTTGGTGTGCACAGGATACACAGGAATGTGCTTAATTTTCCTCACAATTTGTGTCTGAAGTATGATATTGCAAAAGGTAACACTTAAATTATCAAATGTGGTGTTCCCATGATTTGGCTCTTGGTAGAAACAAAGCTCTCCAAGTAGTAGTGTGAAAATCATAATTGCATGTACTGTGTAAGTATTGCTTTATTTATAAACATACACTCATACTTTTTTCTTCTTAACTACAAGATTGTTAATATATAAACTGTATATATATTCACTGCAGAGTACATTTTGCTCAAGGAAACACTTAGTTGAAGCCCCCGAGTGTCCTGATTACTGAGGTTACAAACTTTACACAATACAGGTATGTACTGACACACATGCACACATTAAACAAACAAGCAGAATGCACCAAAAAATTACCTTGATGCAAACGAAGGAATTGGAGGTTCATTTTCAGTATCAGACATTCCATCACTTTCAATGTCATCCTCCAGTAAATGGGTTAAGCTGGAGTCTCCAATGGTAACACGCTTCCCGCCTGTACTGCGATCTTTCCTTCGTTCGGTGGACTCTCTCTTAACTATTCGTACAGTCTTGATCTCTAAAGGCTTCTCTTTTGGAAGAATACCTGCAAAAGTCTTAACGTTACACCATTTCATAAAAGAAGTATCCAACAAACTTTCATAAATTCTACCATTTTCTTGGGGTTTATTATTATTATACTATGATGAAAGACTTAAATGAAACAAAATTAAATATCAATGAAAAAACTGAATACCACAGTACTGGTAGTTTATGAGGGATAAAAAATTCACATGTTAACCCGTACAGCGTCAACGGCGTAACAGTTACGCCGATATACTTTTGAGATAAAAGAATAAGCATTGTAAAATCTATACTTATAATGCAAAAGTGAAACCAAATAAAAAATAAATAATTATAAAATCATACCCAAAAAATACGTACAGTATTGATGAAAATTATTATGAAAATGAGTGTAAATAATACGAAAAAGTAATTTTTTCGAAAAACCAGTTTTTGTGATATAGCTCGAATGCGACGATCAGCAATGCTACCTAGGTATGTTAATTCCTAGCCAATTCGCCAGGCCAACATACAGGCAATTAAAACATCTAATAATTACTTAATAAGTAATACTGTATTAGGAGGACACGTCACTACCTGGCATTTAATTGCTATTTTGAAAGTCCCTCCCTCAATCAGCCTCCGTGCGCACTGCGAAGTTCATCTCTTATATTGATGTTCCGAAATCGAGATAGATGATAAATAAAGAAAACACAGCTACAGAGAGTGAAAACTTACGGTAATTAGCATAATTTCACCTCACTCGATGAAAAACGTCAACACCTGTAAAACTCTACGCCACGACACGTTCACCTATGGGCGTAACTACACCTTCCATGGTCTGGTGAGTTTCTAAATTAATGCTTTTCCTTCATTATATGATATTATAAGTCTATTTCAGCCAAAATCCAAAGTAAAAAAATTGCCGACGCCAGCCGAACATAATTATATTAACTTAGGTGACGCCGTACGGGTTAAATATAGTTAAATAAGGCAGAATATTTTAAATAACTTTCATTAATAGTCAGGTGTAATGGTATTATATCTAGGCAAAATAATACCTCCCCAAAAAATAAAGTTATTTGGGAGGGGTACAGGTGGCCTCCGAGAGTAAGGTACCTCAAAAGCCTTTTTCATTTCCAGAAACTGCAGTTTTCTAATATCAACAGATACATATGAAGTAAAACACTGAAGAATCCCACTCTTCTTTTCCATGATGAACCGGGCTAAGTGAAATTTTCATTAAGTAATAAGCACAGTATCAATGTTCTCAGGCTGAGACTAGATTTTCAACTTTTTCTGAACTCTTACATTAAATGAATAGAGTAATTAATTTGATCACTATTTTCCTGACTCTTGTCCTCCAAGCACCTTCTTGTGTTCCTCAGTATTTCTCTGTATGTCTAACAATCATGAAAAAATAACCTTAGCTATTATAAAACAATGTGATAGAACTGAAATATTGTATTCTAAAATAAAAATTCCACCTAAGCACGAAACTATAATTACAATAACTCAAAATTCTATCTGGGTTTAGCTTATAAATAATGAACACATTTTTTTGGAGAATGAAGTAGTATAAGTGTTAAACTACCATCATAAATTTTTTAAAGTCCAAACACTTACAAAACTGTATTATTACTGAGCCAAGATCACTACTAATGATGACTTCAACCATTAACCTGGTTCAATATATCAAGACATTGGAGCCCTTACCTTGCATATTCCTGTAGTTTGTCACACAAAATACAGTATCATGTACAAACTTTAATAAACAAAACAAAAGTTCACACTAAAAAAATTGCAATCCAGCACGTACTGTATGTCACTGAGTAACAGAAAAAACAAACTCCCCACCCCCAACAATCCCACAAGCCTTTTCCTACTATACTGCTGCTGAGTGGCCATAATCAAGAGTAAGCACAGACTCACTCTTTGCTTGCTGTCATCATTCACTTTAAATGCAGTAAAATCCCCATCCACCACTTGGTGCCATGCTCTTTTGCCATTCTCATACAATATTACTTTTTACATGACCATCCTTCTAACTTCTGGTGCATCCTTCAAATCATCCATCCTTCTTGGTATTAGCTTCTCCCAATATCCACACTGTCAACCTCTACACGATGTTCAAAAAATATTAGAGCAAATGGACTGTACATTCAAGAGTAACTTACCATAATATCTCTTCATTCTGTCATCTGCATCATTGATATCCAGATGACCTGCAGACTGTTGTTGCTCTTCTCCGTCAGGTTTATTATCTGCAGCATCGCGGTCCAGGCCAGTAATGGCACTCATACTTAGATCTCCATTCAGTAAATGCTGCAAGTTTATATTATTTAAGTTAAGACATAAAGATAACTAAGAAAAAACATGGGAGTATAGTGTGAAGGAAATGGCTAGTTTACCCTAGTATCCCTTACTCTCCGAGTCATGTGTAAACACCTTCCCATTAACCTCAGTAACCTCTTTCTGGCCACCTTCAACCTAATGGAAATTTTCCATTAGGGGCACTAATAACAAGCTTATACACCACATGCTGGCCAGCTTTGCCACATACAGTATGTGATAAAAGGACGGTTGTTATATAGGACAGTCTCACAGAGAGACAGTAGACTCAGTTGATCAGTTGAAACTAGAGAAGCCTGGAAGCCTGAAATGAGGATGAGATCTCTCTCACCACCTGGAAGTTACACCAACTGATGTTGAGATACTTGCAGTCTGGTGAATTCACCCTTAGAGTTTTCTTAGTGGTCTGACCAGGAGGTAAGCCTATCACAGTTATAATGAACCTTTTCACCATAACTAGCCATCTCCTGAGATAAGTGTGCATAATCAACGTGTCACTTATTAATAAATACAGAAAATGTAATATGCTATTTACTTTAGTTCTTACCTATATTTTAACATGACACCACCCACCCACTTCACTCCTGTTGGGGTAGTAGCTACAACTTTCCACCACAATTTCATCTGCTACCCACACCAGAGAGATTGGTTGTATTTATTCTTTACCATTTCATATTTGTTTAAGTGTTTTATTCATCTGTATTTCAAATAGTATAGATTTAAATATTGTGCTTAAAATACTGTAGAAGTTTTACACATCCTGTTAGTTATTTTTATAGGCCTATTATTTTAAAACATTTTTTTTCTTAATTAGGAAATTCCTTCATCATGAGGGTCCTCCTTAACACCTACACTATCGGGATGCCACTTTTATAATTTGTTTGGCCCACACCCGGTGATTGTATTAAACACAGAGACCCCTGCACAGAAGGGATTAAGAGTCACATCTGTCACTTTCAAAGGGTTAAATCATAAAACAAAGTAAGGAAATACTGCTACAGTGTACTTGATGAGTACAGCATATCACGCAACAAATTGTACAACGTAAAACAAAATGACAAAATAAAAAACAAATTTATCAAGTAAAAGACTACAGTATCAGGATATTAGACAACTATGTATAAATTCAATTACTGATTAACATTGAAAGCATCACATGTTAACTTTAGCTTCTTTATTTCTTATATACTAATACTGAAATATAATAAATTATCTGAATAATTTATGTAAAATAGTCTTTAGTAATTAATCAAAGAGTAATTTCTAAAGAATGTTAAAGAAAATTAAAATATATCTTGACAAATTATAGGTAGCTAACCTGCTTGACTTACCTGTCTTCGATTTGATTCTCCTAAAGATGACTCAGAATGAAGATACCTAAGATCAGTCTGATAGTGCTCTACAAGTGATGTCTGGCCATCGAGATGATGACCGTAGGAGCGCATGTGTTCAGGAGGTGGTGGAGGGGGTGGGTAATCAGAATCAATGAAGTCAGGACTCTCAGGGTAATCATTAGGACTAACCTGTAACAAAATATTAATAATATTTTACAGATGCAGAGAGAGGTACAGACAGCATTTTAAAGTTTGGTCAATACAGTAATTGAATAGTTGAAAGTCAATTAAAATTAAATTGTATGTGAAGATTGAAATTTCTTTACCATAACAAAATCAATAAGACTGTCTCCTTGCTTCCTAACATAGAACCACTACATGCATGAAAAAATCACCATTCTCCAAAATATCTAGAACTAAAAACGAAGTACTGCACCACATATTTTTTGGCCTGAAATGAACAAAATATGATTTCACCAAGTACTGTGGAGCTATATAAGTGACATTTGGCTTTTTAATGTGGAAGGAAATGTGTAATTCTCATAGATTTATCTCGTGTAGGGTTGTAGAAAACTTTTGACCTATAACTATACTGAAACAACTTGACTGTGGGTCTTGATATACAGTCCTGTAAGTTACTGAGAGGATCCATGATGTAGTCACTTCTTATGCTAAGCACTCAAAAA